CTTCAATTTTTTATTATTGTTGTTGTGTCTGGTATAATTGCAATATTCAAATTCCAACTGTTTGCAAGTTCTTGAATTCATTAGGTAGGGTTTTACTTTCTATTGATATTAAGACTACTGTTGATTATGTTGTAAGTGCCCTTGGATGGAGTAGACTAATTGTGATTTGGAATGAAAAATTAATTCTTATGACTTGTAAATGTTTAATGGATAGGCTCCTCAAGATTTGTCTTCAAAATTTACTTTTAACAATAATACTACCCATTCTAAAGGCACACGTTGCCAAACACATAGCAACCTGATTCTTTCAACTGTATAATATCGGGCTGGGAAAAAGAACATTTTTATATCAATCAATATAAAATCTGGAATGAACTACCACAATTAAAATATAATTTTGAAGAGATGTCAACTTTTTCATTCCAAAATCATTTAAAATAATGTTTTTAAATTTCATTTTATTTTATTCATTGTTTATTACAATTTACACTATGTATGTTTCTCATCACTGTTCCACTTTGAAAATCAGTACTATAGTACTGAAAGTTCCTACAGTATAAAGAAAGATTAAATAAATAATTATAATAATACAAAGCAATAATGGTTGTTCATAGCATTGATTATTGCCAGGCCCTAAAAGTCACCTGGTCAGACTAAGAGATTTTTGGGGTCTACTTAGGAAAAACTCTTAATGCTCATATATTCCGATATTTGTTAAATACAGCATTTTAACACACAAAAATGTCTATAGAATATATATTTTTTTTAAATGAATATTAAGAACAAAATATGGGGTCATTCCATGTCAAATCACCCAATGGATTTAAATATTCCGATATTTGTTAAATACAGCATTTTAACACACAAAAATGTCTATAGAATATTTTTTTTTTTTAAATGAATATTAAGAACAAAATATGGTCAAGTCATATATATTTTATTGTTTAGGGCCTAATTTGGAATTGGTCTGTCACTGATAAAATATAATATTGACAACAATAGAACAATCATCGACCTACTTGCAGTAAAGTAAATCTAAAATGTATTCCTGAAGTATGATGGTCCCTTGGTTCATTCAGATAATGTTGTCATATGTTTTCTTGTATGATTTTTTTATGTTTTCTTATATACAGTAGAACCCCTCATTTACGAACCCTGACTTTACAAATTGTGATTTTCATGAACGCCTCTGGGCCCGTTCCGTACGTAAAATGGGTTCTACTGTACTTATATTTTAAAATCTAAATGAACTAAATAGATCTAAACTAAACTATTATTATTGAGGGATCCTTTTAAAATTCAAGTAGGATTTTTTGAAGATGTATTTTTAGATTTATAGGCATTATGAATGGGCCCCTAATAGCCCCTGGCCCCAGTGCTTTGCATTGGCTGTACTGTCCATACCTGCGCCACTGTCATTGCTGCTGTTTAGTAATTTAAATGTACAATTGTAACTCATGCTGCATTGGTAAATCATGTTCATGGTACCTCATGCTACAGTTTTCAATGGGCCATTATTTTATGGTGGATCCGATTTCTTATATTTTAGGAACAGCTAGTAGAAGAATAAGTGCCATCACAAAAAGTGAAAAGGATGAAAATATATTTAAAAATTAATCTCTCAGTAGCTCATGCTAAACATACACATCCAGTGCACTGGACAGATACATGAATTGAGATGTTCATATATGATTGTTAAGATATGAAATGTATCCAAGTTAAAGGGCACCACAAAAGAACCAAGTTATTCTGGTGCGCTGGTACCACAAAAGGCATTGAAACGTTGAAGAGATAAGACCATTGTTGTATGCGCACATTAGCGTTGCCGAGGTGAGAATTCTACTCCAGTTCAACTGTAGGCAATCAGCCCTGCTTTACTTTACCGGTACTTTTCCATATTCGTGGGAATTCCATCGCTTACACGTGTGAGAAAAACAGAATTTTCCACGAGCGTGAGAATTTGAGTAATAATAACGTGTTCTTGAAATTTGGAAAATTTGACCTGGAATGTCCTGGACACTTACAAACACTGGTGTGTACATAAGTACCATATCTAAATACTGAAATGTGCCAATCGTTCAGCTAGCACCAGCCTCCAGGCCCTAGTTCTAACTTTGTTGGTTTCGGTCAGAAGAAACAAACCTAGCTAGTATATTAGTAGGTTAACATAAACCTAGGCCTACTACACCGTAGATTAGGGCTGTAAAACAAGCTTTACTATGGAAGGCAAACGCCGCCAAAAATACAATTACAAACACACAACGTACTAGCACAAACACACAACGTGTTAGCACAAACACGCAACGTACTAACTCAAACACACAACGTAGGCCAACACCGCCAAAAATACATTTACAAACACACAACGTACTAAATCAAGCACACAACGTACTACGATGCAGGCCACAACCGCCAAAAATACATTTACAAACACACAACGTACTAACTC